ACCCTACACGATATGGGACCCCGACAAGTTCCCGAAAAACGAAAATAATGAAGCATTGATCAATTATTGCAGTGGAAAGGCAATTATAGTTGGAGAATCGAGATCTGGTAGCATTGGTAATAGATCTATAGTTAGAGAGAAAAAGAGAAAAAGAAAGTAAAGTAGGTACCTTGCAAGCAGTCACAGTTTTCGGCCTCTTTGCGAACGACGTCGAGAACGGAATCGATTAACTCGGCGCCTTCGGTGTAGTGGCCTTTGGCCCAATTGTTTCCAGCGCCGGACTGGCCGAAGACGAAGTTATCGGGCCTGAAGATCTTGCCGTATGGGCCGGATCTGATGCTGTCCATGGTGCCGGGCTCGAGATCCATGAGGACGGCCCGTGGAACGTACCTTCCGCCGGAGGCCTCATTGTAGTAGACGTTGATCCTCTCGAGTTGGAGATCGGATGCGGCGTCGCCCACGAACGTCCCGGTGGGGTCGATGCCGTGCTCGTCGCATATGACTTCCCAGAACTTGGAACCGATTTGGTTACCGCATTGTCCTCCTTGGACGTGCAATATTTCCCTCATGGTTACGTTACTCACTTTGTGTTGTGTTGTGAAATGAACACCACATTTATATGGTTATTTTATGGCATGCGAAAGAGAGTGAGGGTAATAATGGAAGGAAGGGTGAGGTTTATTTATTGGAGTGTTGCGTGGCTTTGCTTGTTGAGACGCCAACTGTACCAGCGCATAACTGTCCCTACCTCTCTTCCAACTATTTCGCTCCATTTTTGGCCTACGTCAATCCAATCTTATCTTTTTCATATTTACACTTCCTCTCTCTACATTTAACAAGACATGTTATAGTACGTACGTCAAATAATTTATACATTCTTTTTTAGTTTCTTTTATTTTATTTATCGACAAATACTAGCTACTACTGTATCATTTTTCACCATACAAAGTAAATTGACATATTTAAAACAAGTATTCATGAACGCATTTAATGCAGAAACGGTGACACACATGCCTTTCTCACAACTGCTGCAATTAGTGTTTTTATTGATAGGCAAGCTACGAAAAAGTCTACTTATAAGCGAATTTAAGGTGCAATTTTGGATACTCTCGTACTTCACAAGTCATGTTGTCTTGAATGGATGTAACTTTGCAATGTAATTAATTACATTTGTGTTCATCTACAAATGATTAATAATGTCGGTAGGTAGAATTGATTGCAGATTTTCACCACGAAATTTACACAAAAAATAAGATAAAATAACATTTTTTGACTGAAGATAAAACAATTTTTAAAGGACTAGTTAGTAACAATTTAAACATTGAAAAATTAATCTTGAGGCAATTTTTTTTTTACATTTATATTTTTTTCAGTAGAAAAGATTATTTTACTGAACATTTCTTTTTATAACTATTACATTATTGCATGTTTCTCAACCGTAATTTTTTTTACTTACTATTTAGAGTTGATCAAGATCCTTTCATTCATGTGCTTTATGACAAGTTGTGCAATTGAGTAGCTTGTATAAATATGTATCCTTGTCCGGTTGTCCCATCTCCCATTTTTTGAGTTATAAGAAAATAATTCGATTATATTATATCACATAAAATAAACTGTGCATGTGTGTATTCCATTATTTTCTTTTGACCGATTGTTTTATTATATTATACTAGTTGGAAACCACGTGGGATGCACGTGGCTACCGACGTTTGTCTGCATTGATGGGGTGAGGTGCTGCGATATACTTATCAATGTTCAATGTCGCACCAATTTAACATTTTGAAATATGAAACATTAGATTTAAATCTTATATTAGCCTTCATCATTCTATACCAAACGCATTGATATGTAACCAAGAAATAGACTTAGGATCTATCATCACCTTAGCTTTGAAGTGAATTGTATAACCGTTAATCATTTCATCCATTCAGGGCGTGTCAGAATTAATAGCGATCAATGAGTTTAACTTCTATAATGGATTAGGCTGTAAGCGGGGGGTATTACCTAAATTGCGAATTGATTGAAAACAACTAATTAATAAGTTTGGGTCATATATATATATAT